AATACAATTAACTCACGTGACCAAAATTTACTCTAACTCTACTCCGAGTTTTCCACCCGAACTCAGCATTAGAAGACATACATTTTGTAATCCGACAAAATATGTGATGTCTACATGACGGTACTCTAGCACATTACAGTGATCACGTAAGAGAAGATAATTTTTTGGCAGTACCCTGTACAGATTGGATGGAGATTCGATACACCTATTTTTTGGCCACCCAAAGGCCCAAACATTAACCCTCTTGACTTTAGTTTTTAGGGTTTTATCAAATAAACAGGTACTCGGTGAAAATAATGACTAATAACAATACTTGCTTCTGCTTGCTTCCTATAACGTCGCAGGCTAAAGTTAATACGTGTTATCCACGAGTGAAACTATTTGAATCACTGTTTTTCAGTGATATGGTTAATTGTATATCAGTCTGGGGCCTCAGATATTTGAAAGTAGGTACTGAAATGTTTTAAATATAATTCTTTTGTTGCATATTAACACCTGATGTCATAGTGCATTTGGAAACAAGAAAAGTGAAACTTGCTTATAATGTAAATTGCAAATATATTTAAACAGAAACCATTATTTATTTTCCAAAACATTCCATTATCTAAGTTTAAACAGTGCAAAATAAGCAAACCAGAAAATTAAGGTCATTTTAAATATTTGTGAGATACAAAGTCATTGAAAAAAAAAACGATTTTTTATTTATAATTTTACAAGTTTTTTGTATATATCGTACACTCACTAATAAAGTAGCATAACTCAAATTTGCATGTTTAAATTATTAATCGTAGGACGGTCCAAAATGGCGCCCTCCATATGTAGAACTTTTTAAATGAAGGTGTTACTCCAACGCAGTACGTCTTAGAGTTAGAGTAGCACTGTCATTTAGAAAGTTCAACATATAAAGGGCGAAAATTTTAAGTTATGCCACTTTATTACTGAGTATGCGATATACCGGGTGTTCAAATTAAAGTGTTACAGTCAAATACCGCCGGAAATATGCAATTTTAGAAAAAAGTTTCAGACAAAAGTTTTTTTTTATTGGACTTTTACTTTTTGAGTAACAGCTACTTGAAAATTTTGCTGGGTGAAAAAAAGTTAATCATATTACGGTTAGCTATAAAAAACGATTGTAGCCAAAATTTTTTCCCCACAAAACTATAAAACTTTCGCCTGAAACGTTTTTTTTTATAAAAGGCGATATTTAGCTGTAACACTTTAATTTGAACACCCAATATATATTTTTTCTAATCGAACTATTTTGTACTCTAGAATATAATTATGACCTACCTTTTCGTTTACTTTATTATACCCTTAGATTAAAGAGACCGAAGATGTAACATTGCACACTGCGCATGTTGTCTATTTTAACCCAAAGTAACCCACCAATTAAAAATCATTGTTGCACGACACCACCCGAATTACTCCGATTTTTCCATTCAGCGATCACCTCCACCTGAGTTTAATCACCATTGACAGCTGTTTTGTGATTTATTTGTTGGTATTTTAGCAATTTAAAGTGTTCTAGTTTCTAATTTCAAGTTCAAAATGTCACGATGTATCTTGAAAAATTGTATGTACTTATAATACAAGTACCAATGTTATGAATATATTCGTTTTCAGCGGTAAATATTTATTAACGTTTTGACATAAAGCGCCATGGATTCTCTGGGCTGAATACTTCAGATCCGCATTAAGGGGTTTCAATAAATATTAAGCATCAGAAATCAGATTTTATATTACTTACATAAATTTACAAAAGGGTAAAATTTTGAACATTTAATTTAAATAAATAGTAAATAGGCATTATTGCTAACGAAATTTTGTATTTAAAAAGTAGTTTTATAAGAATTTTTTTCTACACCCGTATTATAATAATGCACTTATATGCCCATAATCCGTTTCATAATGATATCCATTATGATACAGATTTTTCATTATGATACAGATTTTTAATCAATAGAAACCTACCATTTTTCAATCAAGCATGATGTTTGACGTTTGTCCTAAATTCCTATGTAATTGTTTTAGTTGTCAAAACGTATTAAATTTTCGTAGATAGCTAAACTTTGATAATTATAATATTAAAATGTCTGATATCAGCGATATAGAAGACTCCTCCACACATATCGGAAAAAGGAGAAAATGCAGTACAAAATATTTTGCCCCAAAAATCTGTGGTAATACCAATACCCAAGGTAATACCATTAATTACAATTTTGTAGAATTTTTTATAGAAATACGAGTAATTACTGTTATTGTGTTCAATGCCAATATAAATAGAATATTTATAGGTCTTGATTATTTATCGGGTGTAGAAAAAATAGCGTATGCAACTCTCATGTAATGGTTATTAAAACACTCGCATAAACCATACGAAACTCGCCCTTGGCTCGTTTCGTATCCCGGTTAATGCTCGTGTATTAATAACCATCATTACATGATCGTTGCATAATATACTATTTCTAAATATAGTTTTTAGCCATTTTTGGTAGATAAATAAGAGGTAAAGAATCATAGTTGCTAGCTAAATTTTATTTTTTAAGGTATTTTTATAAGAATATTAGATGAAATACAGGATGACCTACTTAAAATTTCAAGGTTCATCTTATTTGCGGTCAAATCGAAAGTGACATTTGAATCTTCAGTCTTAAAATAAAGTAAAACGCACGATATGATCTAGTATAAGCAAAAAAAATACTAAAGTTACAGGAGTTAGGTCCGATTCCACCGTTGTGTTAAACGGAGATTAAAATGACAGTGTTAATGTAAAAATGTTATTTTAAACTTCGTTTAATACAACGGTGGAATCGACCCTTAGTCACATTAATAAAATGTTACATTACAAACCCCTAAACAACTCGCACAAAATTTTCGTTTACTAAAAAAAATCCAAAATTTAGCAATATTTATTATTTATTATACAATCGAATGCGGTTTCAAAGATAACGGGATTATAAAATCCGAATCTCTAAATTTTGGAGCTAAATGCTCAGATAAAAGCAAGCGACGGATAGGGGTTACAAAAATAATCGATTTATCGATAATTCTGATAATTTTTAATGAAAATCGATTTATCCGCTGTTTTTAATAAATTATTTTCGTTTTTTTAAGATAATGTATTAATCGATTTTAAAGGAAATACAAAAAAAGAGGTAGATTTATTCAAAATAATCGATTTATCGTTTAATCGGTTTTTTAATTATTTGATTATTTTCGATTTTTCAAAGATATTATATGAAAATAATCGATTGAATATAATCGGTTATTTTATATAATCGATATTTTGGTTATTTTTTTTAAATTATCGATTTATTGGTTAACCTGCTTTTTAATAATCAATTATTTTTGATAATCGAATAATCAATTTCAAAGGAAATATGAAAAAAAGGATTATTAGAAAATAATCGGTAATTCGTTTTATTTTTTGGAAAATCGATTTATCATAGAATCTGCTTCTTAATTAATTGGTTATTTTCGATTAGGCGATTATTTTGGAATTATCGATTATTTTCGGTATTTCAAAGATAATCGAATAATCGATTATTTAAAATAATCGATCATTCTGTTTTTTAATCGATTTATCAGTTAATCGACTTTTTAATTAATCGATTATTTTTGATTAATCGAATATTTTTGATTTTTCAAAGATTATCGAATAATCTGTTTCCATGGACGAAAAAAATTGGTTTATTTGAAAATAATCGATTATTTAAAATAAACGATAATTCTATTTTTATTATATTTTGTAAACACTGATTTATCGGTTAATTGGCTTTTTAATTAATCGATTATTTTTGATTTTTCAAAGATAATCAAGTAGTCGATTTTAAAGGAAATGACAAAAATAAATTGTTTGAAAATAATCGATTGATCGAAAATAATCGATTATTTTCAATGATCGATAATTTATTTCGATAATCACTCATCTTTTAATAGATTTAAATTTTAAAATGTTATCTGGTTTCAGACATATGCATTTCTAGAGTTTTATGTGACTCATCCTTTATAATAATTAATATTCCTAAAGAAAGAAGCCTTAATATACTTTTTTCTGAGGTTACAATATAAAACAGCATTTTCTCATTTTGACTAATTTTTAATAATATGTAATAGCCGTAGAAAAAATATAATGTTCAACTTATAAGGGTAGATTTGCAGTATTAGCCTGCGAACATGCTATTTTTATAATACTCGTAGACAATGAGTAACATTTTTTGCTCTATTAACAATATATTCTATTTCAACATTTTACTATAATCTGTTGCAGAAAAGTCCGTAGTAAATAAACGCTAACGAAATATTCTATAAAAGGGCTTCTCTTTACATAAAATGTCGTGGCATCTATTTGATATTAAAAAATCACGTTAATTTTATTTCATAATACAAAATTTGAATAAACACCTTTTAAATAAATCTAATAGTTCATTATGATGCTAATAAACAAAGTCCGGTCCCTGTCACAGAGTTCGGGTCGCCGCGTGTCGCCGCTCAGTTCCCCCACTCCGTTAACCCTTCTTTAGAAATTGGCAACATTTGCGCAGGTTGAAAACCGGTGTATGTTATATCTCTGGTCTCTTTTATCTAAGATTATACCCTATAAAACTGTGCCTACATCAATAAAACTTACATTTGCCCTCAATTTTTTTCTATTTCTGATGTTCGAGCTGCTCGATGAAGCTATAGAGGTCTAAAAATGTATTTCTTCTTTTCCACAAATATAGTTGTAGTTAATTATCCTCTTAAATATCCTTAAACGTTAGTTATACGGGATACGAAATATTTTTTAGTGCCTTCTGTAGTCTTAGGGTCTTCTGCACTTTAAGATAATCATGTGATGAAAATCTTATCTCGCATGGAGAAGTTGTGGCAAGCCTATTAGTGCTTCCATAGCATCTGGGGGATTGTTTTATTTGAGTTTCTTATGATTTGTATTTTATATATTATTATCATTTTATTGTTGGACATTTTTTAATACTTATTTTACTTTTCTGTTTCAGGTGTTGCAAATCGTGGAGCTAGTGTTAGAATTCCGCGTGGTTGCGCCGAGGATAAGAAAGGTTATCTTGAAGACAGAAGACCAGCTTCGAATTGTGATCCGTACGCGGTAACGGAAGCAATAGTGAGAACATGCATTCTAAACGAATGAATATAGCACAATTTACACGTATTTGTATTATAATCTTTACACACGTTTTATAAATTTATGTATGTTGTATATGATATAAAGAAATTTATTATTTAATTTTTGAAATAATTGTAAAATTGTATAACTAACCATCGATTTATAATGATGGATTTCACCAAAATCACAAAAAAATATTGCTAATTTGTATTTGTAATCTATCAATTAAATATTAATTATTATTAGAAACCTGTGTTTTATTTACTGTCAACTATAACACACAAAATTACAACTTTAGCTCATAGTGTATCTGTATCTGTAACGTGTGGAGTGTGGGTTACCCCCCACGGTACCTAGACCTCACTAGGCTCATTGTGCATCCCCCTAAGACGATAGGCACCTCCTAGCTCATAAGCCAGCCTACAGATTTAATGTAGTTGACAACGTCGCCAAGAGGTGCTTCTCTTGTATCGGCCGGTGTTAGACGATACTCGCCGAACCTTCGCCGAACACAAATCTCCTAATAAATGAGAGCATTGAGCAATCGTAGAGGATATATGCTCGATGGTCTCATCTTCTTGTTCGTACCCTCTGCAGAGTGCAAATTCTGTCTAGTCATAGTCAAGTATTTGTTTGCTGCAGTACTGTCAGGATAACTTAAAAGCTCCCTGGCAACTCTGCAGTTTCTTGTTTCATCCCAGCTTTCTTTGAATTTTACAAGGGAATATTCTTTAATTAGGTCTGTCACTACCGATTTTGTCAGGTCAATAAAAGGGCCAGGTCTTAAAAGTATTTGGTTGGCTGCTTTCTTGGCCAGTGAATCAGCAAGACGGTTACCTTTCAATGTGGCGTGACTTTTGATCCATCTTAAAGTGGCCACGTTGTTGATGGATACTTTAGCCAAAACTTCGTGACCTTCTATTACTAACTCTGAATAAATTCGTGGTCTGTTCAGGGTGAGTAGTGCTTGTCTGCTATCTGTATAGATGAGCATGTTCCTATTAGTGATATTGTTTCTGCTGATTTATTTTGCTGCTATGAGAATCCCCGTGAGTTCTATTTGAACTACACTGGCACTATTACTTACAGCCCATTTTATGTTAAGGTTTAAGAATCTAGAGTATATTCCACATCCTGAACCTTGTTTTGTTTTAGAACCGTCGGTGTAGATACGAATCGTACCTGCCATTTCCGGCTCTTCTATTTGTTCTGTTACAACCTTATATGGCTTATGGAAGATATATCTCAGTGAGATGGAGTCCATAATCGCTTGAAGCAGTGGAAGCATATCGAGCGCCTCCTGCCAAAAGCCCTGTCTCGCCTCACCAGATCCTACAACAGGTTCTATTCCAACCGTGCGGAGGCGTGTCATTCTGGTCAGAGCAACCTCCTTGATGGGAGCCCAATGCCCAACGACAGGATTAAACCTGGTATACAGACGGGTCTAAGACTGCGGAAGGCACTGGGGAGGAGTATTCTCCAAAAACCCTGATACTTACCATGACTATGCTATAGGAATACATTCCTCGGTATTTCAGGCCGAGGTATACGCAATTTTGCAATGTGCAAAAACGAACAATGAAAGAGCTGTCGAAAATCAGCATATACAAATAATGTCAGATAGCCAAGCGGCACTTAAGACCATATCGAGTCAGAAAGTTACGTCGAGGCTGGTATGGGAATGCATCGAAGAACTAAGAACACTGGCAGACCGAAATAGAGTAAAACTATTTTGGGTGCCAGGTCACCAAGGGATCGAAAGCAACGAAAAGGCTGACGAACTTGCAAAAAGAAGGTCAGAAGAAACACCGGAACCAAACACAAACCCAGGAGTACCAAAAAGTACAGTCCAGGGTTTCATAAACGACTGGATTCGGGAACAACATATCAACTATTGGGGAAACACCCCAAAACAGGCACATGGAAAAGCCTTCATAGGCAGACCATGTCCCAAAAGAACTGGAGAACTACTCTCAATGAATAGGAACCAGTTGAAAGTGATAACAGGGTTCATAACTGGGCACGCCCCAGTAAAGGGACTCTTGAACAAAATTGACATGTACAATGGCGAACTCATGTGCCGACTATGTCACAAGAAATCAGAAACGGCCAAACACATACTGTGCGAATGCGAAGCTCTAGATCGCAAAAGACAGGCTCTTTTTGGACAACCCCAAGTTGATCCAACAACGTATAGAACCCGCTCACCCAAGGATCTGTACAAACTTGTACAAGGTACAAAGGTGACAGAGTGGGTGCTATGAACTAACATGGGGTAAGACACAATAAGCCAATAAGCTTCAGTGTTATTCGGAGATACATAGTCAGACGAGCCCAGGAGAAAAAAAAAAACGTTGATGTAAATATCAAGGGGAGTGAGACTAAGTATGATTTCCATGGCCCTGGTCTGTGTTATTTTCATGGCTCCTGTTATGTTGAGATAAGCTGTTCTTTGAATTTGTTTTAATTTACGGAAAGCTCTCAATTTTTGCGTTTTCGGTTCCCACACAACTGCAACGTATGTTAGCATAGGTCTTATGATCTATCTATCTATCTATCTAATCTATCTACCTATCTATCTGTATATCTGAATTAGGGCGTGGTTCAAAGCCCACTTATAAAACAATCAATTCTCTCCCCCCTGAACTTAAAAACTTATCTGTAAGTGCATTAAAGCGTAAAATAAAATGTTATATATTAAATGGTGACATGGAAGTATGATTTAAAATTTAAGATTTATCAAAAATATTTTCATTGATGCTTCGCATCAATTAATAATTATTGTAGTATTATTATTATTATTGTTAGATAGGTACTATAATTAGATATTGGTGTTAGTTATTATTATTTAATTAATAATTTTGTTTGTCTCTTTTTTTGTGGGATTTACTATTATAATCTTTGTTATAATTCTTTTTTTTTTTGTGGTTTTTACATCAGGATCTATTGAAAACCATCTTCTTTCATCTTGTATGATTGACGATGAATATGTCCTTTTCAGTAAGTTCATATTTTGGTAGGTTTCTATTGTATTATTCATTTTTCTTTTTCATTATTATTATTATTATTGTATTCTTGATATCCGCTACATTATAATGCTGTTATGTTTTATACCATTGGCTTACTGAATAAACGTTATTATTATTATTACTTGTACTGAAGCTCTAGGCTTATTGTACCCCTCACAGTTTCTATCCCATCAGATTGATTTGGTGATGAATTCAAGAATATGTCTGATGGGCGCTTTCGCGATTTCTTCAGGTTCCGGATATTGTACCCCGAAGTATCATTCCCGTTCCCATTTAAGGTTCCAACAGTGGCATAGTATGTCCTCCTCTTCACATATTCTACATAGGGAGTCATGAGATATCCCTAAGAGATTTAGGTGTCTTCTAAGGAGTCTCCCATAAGGAGTCCTATTACGGCCTTGAGTTTACTTCTGCTCTTATCTCTGAGAGAGTCATTTAGCATGACTTTGGAGTATGCATTTGTTGCTGTTACTTCAGCCTGGAAAACTGTTGTCAGTGACCCCAGGTTCAAACTAATGGTCCTCCCTGAGTTCACATGGTAGATCCCAGCTCCTGTGCTGTTTTTCATTTTCGAACCGTCTGTATATCAGATTGATTCGTTGTTTTTCTCTATTTTCCCGGCTTTTGGCCCTTTCTGGTATTTGAATATGAAAAGGTTTACTGAAGTCGTGAATAATGGGCGTTCTATCCGATGGCATTCTTAGTACCGGATTTTGTTTTAATTTTTTCTAATATCATTGTGTGGTGTCCTTTTCTCGAAAGTTCCCATCCAAATCCATTAGTAAATAGCCTGTATGCCGCCGCCATAGCCTCCTTCTCCACCACAAGGTGTAGTAGCTCCATTGCTGCCGTGGACGTAGTTCTAAATGCCCCTGTTATTATTAGACAGGCTAGTCTTTGTAGCTTGTCTAATTTTCTGTTAGCTGTTATGCTTTTAATCTTGTGCCACCATATGACTGATGAGTAAGTTATAACACGTACTACAACCATATTGTAAAGCCAGTGCATCATATTTGGTTTAAGCCCTCATACGTTTCCTAACATCCGTCTACAGGCCCATAGTATTCTTTTTCTGTTGTTTTTTTCTATATGGCTGCAGAAGCTAAGCTTGTCATCAAGAGTGATTCCAAGATATTTAACCTCTTTTGCCATTTTTAGATGTTGTCCCCACATTTAAAGCTCCTTCATTCCTTGAAGGTTCCTTTTTCTTGTAAATGCAACAACAGAGGTTTTTGTCGGGTTTGTGGACAATCCCTCTTTTAGGCACTATCTTTCGACGATATTTAGTGCCCGCTGAATCCTTTCGGATACAACAGACCCAAATTTACCGTTTAGTACGATGCTTATGTCGTCTGCAAATGCTTGCGTGTATAAGTTTTCTCTCTCTAACTCCCATAAGAGGTAATCAACCACCAAGGTCCACATAAGAGGAGATAACACTCCTCCCTGCGGACATCCCTTGTTAACTGAGACCTCTCTTGTTTTATTAGGAAGATTACTGGTAATGGTTCTATAATTAAGCATGAACTCAACCTACCACGTAATATAGTGGGCTACTCCACGCCTGTGCATAGATCCCAGTATTTAATTGTATGTAGGTCTTATGATAGCAGTGTTTAGTGTAATCGTAGATTTTTCAATACCAGCTATTTATCTTACGGTGGTATCTTTTGATCTTTTGAACTTAAAACGTTGCAAGTCAAATGGCTTTGTATCACGGGTTTGACACCTCACATACTTAAGGTGTTCATACATTTTCGTGTTTAATGACCCACATTATTGAATAAAAATAAATAGATGTACGTACCTCTTCACGACTCTTGAAAATTTAAAAAAAATGGTATTACAAAAAATGTTCGAATTGTTTTATGCACCTTTTTGCCGCTCTCAAAGGTAGAGCTGTTTTTACTGCTGTTTTTCCATTGAATATAATTTAATACCTGTTGCGGTACTAGCCAAAGGAGTTGTTGTTTTCTGAAGGGAAACGGTCGCTCGTATTTATGTGATACTGTCTTTGAGTTTTATTTATTTTATTTTATGCATATTTTAAGTTGTAAAGATCCGTACCCTCTTTAATTTTTTCATTATACACAAGACCTGTGATGTCACACTAAATCGTGAATATGAGGTAAAGGATTTGGGAGTTGACTTTCAGTCTAATTTATGTTCAATAATTATATTTCTTACACATAACTAAAGAAGCAATAAAAGCTTTGT